TTATTTAAATAGATTATATGAATTATTACAAGAGCCTACAGCTAGGACTAATTTATTCTTAGCCCAAAGCTTTACTAGAGTAGGCTATCTGGCTTCTACTAGATTTAGTCTCACTATATATTATAATTTTAATTTAATATTATTTTTCAAACTAAAATTATTTTATAAAAATTATAGTTTAATTAAAAATTTATTAATTATATAAAAAGTTTTTTGTATTAGTTAATTTTTTAAAAAATATTATTAATTTAAAAATTTTATTATAAAAAACTATATATTTTTAGATATCACTCATTTTAGTATATTAGTATTTAAAGAATATAGTGATTTAGTAAAGTAGTTAAGATGTTTAATCCTCAAGTAATATATTAACAGATTGGGATTTAAAATCTAATAATAATAAAAATTTAAAAATACTACTTATACAATAGCTACTCTTTTAACAATTAGTTAAAACAGAATTTTTGTAATTATGATATTAACAAGATTGAAAAATCATAGAGTATTTATTTAATATATAAGTTATATATAGTGATACAAATTAAAAATCGAATTACTCGATTAGTTATAAAGTTGACAACTAATTGATTTAAATTTTACAGATCTAATTTAATCGATTAGTTAACTAATCAATTAATTGATTAGCCAACTAATTGATTAGTCAATTAGTTGATTAAATTAACCGATCATATAAGAATATCAATCGACTGTTTCAATTATAATCTTACTAAGTTTTGTTTATTATTTATTTAACTAATCGATTAGTTGGCTAATTAATTAGTCAACTAATCAATTAATTGATTAGTTAATTAGTCAATTAGTTGATTAATCAATTAATCAATTAATCAATTAATTAACTAATTGATTAGTTGAATAAAAACTAATTAATCGATTAGTTAGATAAAATGATTTATCAACTAATCGATTAAAAAATTTTTATCAATTTGTATTACTAGTTATATAAAAATATACAAGCTAGCATTAGGTAGTACAAATCTAAAATAAATCTCTGTAGTTATATAAAACCAGAATAAAAAGTTTTCAAAAAGAGACCAGGTTGTAGAGGATCTACAGGTAAATCATAGATATAGCATATAGAAGATAACTATAATAATATAGCAGAGCTCTTAAATAAACAATGACTAAAATTATATGTATATTTATAAATATTTTCATCGAATATACTATGTCTAGAGCTCTTGGAGACACTAATGATTTCTAGTGTATCTAATAAACATGTTAAGCTAAAAAGACTAGCTTTAACTACAAAAAAAAAATTATTAATATTTAAATTAGATATAAATTATTAAAAATCTAAATAAAACATATATAAATATAATTGCTCTAGTAGATTTATCTTGAGAATAAAAAAACTTAACAACCTAATTTAAAGTTTAAAAAATTTTAATAATATATTTTTTATTGAAAAATATCTATAGGCAGATCTTAGATAACAATTGGTAAATAACTATAGATAAAATAGATATAGTGAAACTCTTAAATAAATCAACTAAAGTTGTATATATAACCAATTAATATAACAAAATCAGATACAAACCTTGTAACTATATTGGTATTTGAACCAATGTTTAATAAAACATACCAAACCTCTAAAAGATTACAATATTTTAAAAAAAATCATAATATAATAAATCTACAAATAATAAAATTACAAAAAAAATTTAAAAAATTGCCAATAGCTCAAAATTTTATTAATAATTTGTTTTGATATATCTGTATATATATTACTATATTATTTTTATCAGTTAGTTATTGTATATTTATCCGATCAAAGTCACGAAAACAACAGATCACATTGTCATAAAACAAAATCTCACCGATGCGATTCCAGGATATAATAAAGTTTTTCTGCCAAACAGTAGTACTTTAAGCAATTAAAACATGCGGGAGTAGCAAAACTTAAGTATAACAAATACTAGTTTTTAGATAAAATTATTTGCTACGCCATAAATTTAGGATGGCATTTATTGATAAAGTGTTTAAAAAGCATTTAGTAATTCGTGTATAACATTTACATATCACTCGTTTGACTTCAGCATTTTTATAATAATAAAATAAAATAAATTTATTGTATAATGTGTACATTTTGGAAAAAAAGAAAAATGCAATGAATCAACAAAAAGCAAATCATGATAAGACATTCTGATCAGAAAGTCCTGCTAACTGTTTCAATAATATGGTCGACGAGGATTGTTCTAGGAAGGGCAAATGGTTAGTAGTGCACAAAAACAAATTGAATAAAAAAACATATATACACTAAACTCCAGAAAGTTATGATGATACATGACAAACAATTAAGGAAATTTCCTGTCGGGTTACCGAATAGGAAATAAAAAATTCAAGAAATTCGGCCCAAAGTTCTCATGCATGTGTCCGTCACGAAGCAAAAATTAAAATATGTCCACATACCAGAGGATTTGGTCTAAACCTGTAAGCAAGCATCATCCTTTTGCGGTAAATCTCAAATTCATCATCTTCTTCATCAACTCCCTCAGGTTTTGTTTGTCCCAAACCAGCATTTGCTGGGCGTGTATCAGCTCTAAGAAATTATAGTTCATTGGATTGTTACGAATGGGGTGCAAAGTTATTAATAATATTGATTACTTACTTATTGATAGGTGCGGCAATCCCTTCACCTGTTTTTCCTAGTCCTGATCCAGCTTGCCAACCTTGTTTCATTAGCATCTTGAATCCAATGTTCGACTGATCCAGCTTGTTAGTTGCATAATCCTCAAACTCTGGGGGTGTTCCTCCGGTTTTGACGGCTTTAACTTTTTGCTCGAATTTTTCAAGCTCATCTTTGGGTAAAAAATCTGCAATATGGTGGGCACGTTTTGCTTCAGCTTGAGCAGTTAGCAAAGCTGCCTGTTCTGTTTGATTGCATTTATTAATTATGATACATATGGAGGATGTTGTTCATGACATATACTCGTTTTATTGGGCGAGGTGCAAACTCACCCGCCGTCTTTTTCATTTCTTCCGCTCGTTTTTTATGTTCCCAAGTACCACCGTCTGTAATTTCATCTTCTGGATAAACCCATTTGGATCCGACACGAACCATTCCTGGTTTGTATGTATCTGAATATTTTACGAATTTTCGTTTGTCTGAAGTGGTGTATATTTGTTGTGAGATGGATAGTGTATTCGCCGCTAAAGTTGGTGTTGTAGATTGGTTTGTGCTGGCTACTAACTGGGAAATTTCAACTTCTCCAACATTATTATTAGAGTCAAAATTTGAAAAAGAATCAAGGGGTATATTAAGTGTTTCTTTAGCTGTTGTTGAGCCTGGTTGATCCCAGCGACTCCTCTTTCGTTTCCTTTTGTTCTCGCTGGTCCCTGTAATACTCATTATAAAATTAATCTAGAAATCAATCGTTGTCAGAAAATAAATATATATACTAGGAAAGTAGAAAACTATTAAAAGTCCGTAATTGGTTTATACACGTGATTGTTTATAATTAACCAACCACACATATAGGGTTGTTACACGATTTGTCACACGTAAAATTTTATAAATTTACACGACACTTGTGTTTTTAAAATTTTCACCTGAATTGATAGTATACGACCCTTTTTATAAAATTATTGTTTTTTACACCTGAATTTATAGTATACGACCCTCTTTATAAAATTATTGTTGAGGTTTTTTTACAAACAAAATGTTATAAAAACATTATTGCTGAGGTTTTTTTCAAACAAATATTATAAAAGCATTATTGTTAAGGTTTTTACAAACAAAATATATATATATATTTTTTGGTTTTAAGGTGATCTCTTGGTCGATTCTCTTTATTTAGTTATTAGTCAAGTTTTACCGTATGCTAAGCCCCTTACGATGCCCGTACAGTATACATATTTTGGAGAGTACAAAC